TAGGAACACTTGTTGAGGATTTGGAAAGGGGTCCTTTGGTCAGGTATCAGTTAAAGAAACCCACCTTTGGGGTGTCATCTAATTTTTACATTTTGACACTCCATGATTTTTGGCTGGAAAAGAAATCAAGGTCAGAATTGGTCACAGCCACAGCATCTTCCTGTGAGTCCCTGAGGGAGCCCAGACAAGCTGCCCCTGACCCAGCTGAGGGGAAGGAGAAGCCCTTGGGCAGTGATGCCTCCCTCAGCTGCTGCCTGGGCAGGTTTTTGTTCAGAACTGTAGCACTGTGAGAGGATTGCTATAGTCCTGCTGACAGCAATTGACTGCAGCACCCTCAGCCTCCACACTGCTGATTGTGAGGGAGAAATCTGTCCCAGAGCCACTGCCACTGAACCTTGAGGGGATCCCCTCGGGCAGGGTGGAAGCATGTTTAATGAGGAGCCTAGGAGCCTGGCCTGGTTTCTGTTGGTATCAGTGTAGGTCATTGCTAATGCCGTGACTGGCCGTGCAGGACATGGTCACTCTCTCTCCTGGTGATACAGACAGGGAGGCTGGAGACTGGGTCAGCTCAATGGCCCCTAGGGCTTCTGCAATCACAAACACAAGGTAAAGAGTGAGAAAATGCAAGACCATATTTATAGCAGGTGAAATCTCTTTGACAGTTTTGTGAGTTAAACCTTCCTGTGTTGGGCCCTGCCCCCATGATCACCAGTGAAGAGCCACATTTTCTCTCTGACCCTCAGGATCATACACATTCCAACTTGTGCCCGGAAGGACAAAAGGCAGGGCTGTCTCTGGTCTTCCTCACTCACCTGGGATCCAGAGCAACAGGAAAAGTAGGAGGAGAGCCTGGGACCCCATGTCCATGTGTCTGAGCTCTGAGCTGGCCAGCACCCTCCTCCCCAGCTGCCTTTTTATAGATGCACTCCTCAGTAGCTTCAGGGGCTGGGAGTGAGCCATGCAAAACAGCTCAGGGAAGGAGGCTTCTGCCCCAGAATAGGCCCCAGTGATCTCACCTCTTGGACAGCCCAGAACCCTGAGCTGTGTGAGTGCAGCATTCCCCTTCTGTGACCCTGGGTTGGGGGTATCCCAGTGGTGTTAGATCCTACCATGTCACCACAAGCCTTGAAAACTTCAAACATGCCAAGAAAGCTCAGGACCAGACTGGGACAGGCCTGGAAGTGACTCACATATGTGTCCAGTGAGCTCAGTCTAGTTACCCTCCATTCTAGTCTGAAAGACCCACCTGTTTCTCATGACTGTTATTCTACTCCCCACTGGTTCATAGTGATTGCTATGACTGATCATCAGGGAGGAATTTATAGGCATTAGAGTCAATACAACAGAAGGGAGTCATTTCATTGTGTTTATGAAATATTGCTGGATTGTTTCACCCATCTGCACAATTACCATAGCTCCTGAAGAAAATCCTGCTACCAAAGTCCTTGGCATTGGCAAATGGTTCCTCAGAAACTGATGTGGTTTGATTGAAAGAAATTAGATTAAGGAAAATTAATTATCACCATTTTCCTCCTGTACACTGAGGACTATGAGGCCTTTCCACCCAACTGGCAACAGAAATCTTCAATATGGGACATCTCCTCCTATTGCAGTGTGAGCTACCAGAGTGCAGGGGCCATTTTACAGCTCTGCTTAGGTCTCCAGCTCTTAGCACCATGTTTCATCCATCCTAACTACCTAATCAGTATTTTTTAATTCATTAATTTATTCATTCATTAAAAGGGTACTACAAGAAGCCATGCTTTGGATGGGCTCCTCTAAACTAGGGAATGCTCAGTTTTCTTCCTCTTTGACTCTACACAGATGATCTGGGAACTTTGGAAAATGAATTCCCATGCAAATGGGACAGAGAGAGAAGCAGATTAAGGAAAAAACCAGCTCAAGACAATATTTGACAGTGTCCAGAGGCTATTTAGGGACAAAGTTGATGGAGAGAAGATGGAAGCGGAAGAGGAGGAGGAGGAGGAAGAGGAATTAGATATGAGACCCCTCATTTTAGAGATGAGGAAACTGACAAGATAAGAAATTTGCCCAAAGTCCAGTAAGTGGCTGTGCTAGTGGTTCAAATCCAGTTCTTTTACCTTCAAATTCCCTCCCCCCTTTTTCCACTGCCCCACCCTGGAGATGGAATGCCATGTTTAGGACATTGCACCTAGACTAGCTTGACTAGAATGTAGAATTCATAAAGGAGAGTAATGGGCAATAATCCTTGATTAATAGTTTAGAACCAGTTTGTATAAAAACCAAAGAAATGGGCGTCTTGGTGGGGAGCGAGGAATGGTTATGGAGAAAGGAAGGAGGGGAGAGGAGGTAGAATACATAGTTTTTTAAAAACTGAACTTCATTGACAACTTTTGTTTCTGTAACACTGAAGTTCTTAGGTAGTCTTTAGGTTATGCTGGTGTGATTGTGATGCCAAGGAAAAGTGAGGAAGGGCCTAGCACAGGAGATTAATGAGATGAAGGGACAAGGGGGGGTAGCATGGGATCAATCCCATTCATAAATCAGTTAACATGTGTGCTCAGCACTGGAGGTTCAAAATGAAGCTAAAGACCCCATTGTCCTGAAAGAGCTTTAATCAAACCCAGCGTGATGGTTCTTTCTCCTCTCATACTTAGGCAGGGTCTATGTGTGGGCAGGGATGAGTAAAGGTTGTTATTTTTTCCAAAAAGGGTATACAACTATTTATAAGTTCTATACTATGAGTATTTTTCTTACTTTGCTTTTTAAATGTTTTTGTTTTTACTTTAATATTAATTTAGTAACATATCCCAGCTTGTTCTTCTACTCAGTAAGACCCCTCTTACACAAAAACTAAAAAAAAGGGGGCAATGTTTTTAATTTGTTTTTCTTTTCAGCAAGAAGATCCATTCATATGGATCTATCCATAAATTCCATATTATGAATACTTTATTTTGAGCTAAATTTTTTCATATCTTTTCTTTTTAAATCAATTTATAAATTTATCTCTGGCTGTTCCTATATTCAGAGAACTATAACAAACATTAAAAAAATATAAAGCAGTGGGGAATAGTTCAGTAAAACCAACCAGTAAATCAGCAGAATATAACCTAAAGGGCAGAAGGTCTCATTCCTCAGCTCTTCTCCCGGGTCAAGCTTGGTCACTCCAGTGATGACGCATTCAGTTTTGTTGCGATGCTTTTCTTTTCACTTACATCACTGTAGTCCTTATATGTCTCATTTTCCTCATGGAGCTTAGAGAAACCAATGGAGAGCCACACGGCAGGAAAGAGCAAACAGAAACAAAGACTTATTAAGAAAGGATAGAATAAAGCAGATCACGCCAAATGTACGCTCAAAAAATATGGCAGGTGGCAAGAGAATGGTACAACAGTGGATGATCCATGTGCTTCACTGTGTGGTGTCTTAGTGGTGTCTGTGGTCTGGACATCTTAGTGATGTCCAGAAAAATGAAGAAGGGTCCCACTGGTTTTGGGGGAGCCACTGCAGTGAATGTAGGAAGGACATGACAAAAGCTGTATCAGAGCACGGGCATGGATGGCTGCCCTGTCACCTGCAGAGCTGGAAGGACCAGACTCCAGGGAGTGTTGGACAGACTCCAATGCTTTCATGGTGTTCTGCCTTAGTGAAACCACAAATAAACAGTCAGACAAAACGATTCCCCAGAATAGCCATGCTTGAAATGTATGTCTCTGTGCTTTGTGTCCATTTCTTCTCTGTCAAGAGGAGGTAACCCACTTCTTCATAGGTCCCAGGGTGTTCTAGTCTTGTCCAGGTTAGAGCACCTCTGGAATAATGCTTTCCCTCCTGGTTGCCCCATTTTAGAATGGACTTAGGCTGGAGTCCAGCCAGAGCAAGGTAGCCTATATGGGGAAAGGACCAGAGGCCAAGAGAAGGAAGGTTGCCTGAAGGAAACAGGGAAGCTGTCACCATGGGGACAAGTAATAACTGCCTTCAAGCATTCTAGGGCTCTTAGGAGGAAGAGGGTGTGACTTGTTCTGCCTGATACCAAAGCAGAGAAATAGGAGTGAAGGGTGGAGGGGCAGAGAGGCAGACTTCAGACTTAAACTAAAGAAGAGACTCCAGTAATGAGAACCATTTAAAGTGTAATGGAAAATCCATTACTGGAGGTGGTGATAATAATAAAGAGAGGTAACATTTCTGCAGTGCTTACTAAGTGCCAGGCATAGTGCCAAACACTTTATCATTATTATCTCGTTAACTCCTCACCACAAACCTGTGCTGTTATGATCACCATTTTACAGGTAAGCAGAGTAGGACAAAATGAGGTTAAGTGACTTGCCGGACATGCCACAATCACAGTTATCTTCCTGTGAGACCTAGAAACCTCCCCCTGAGGGAGCCCAGACAAGCTGCCCCTGACCCAGCTGCTGGGGAAGGAGAAGCCCCTGGGCAGTGATGCCTCCCTCAGCTGCTGCCTGGGCAGGTTTTTGTTCAGAGCTGTAGCACTGTGAGACCAGCTATAGCTCTGGTGACAGTAATAGACTGCAGCATCCTCAGCCTCCACACTGCTGATTGTGAGGGAGAAATCTGTCCCAGAGCCACTGCCACTGAACCTTGAGGGGACCCCATCGTGCAGGGTGGAAGCATATGTAATGAGGAGCCTAGGAGCCTGGCCTGGTTCCTGTTGGTACCAGTGTAGGCTGGTGCCAATGCTCTGACTGGCCTTGCAGGACATGGTCACTTTCTCTCCTGGAGACATAGACAGGGAGGCTGGAGACTGGGTCAGCTCAATGGCCCCTCAGGGCATCTGCAATCACAAACACAAGATAAAGAGTGAGAAAAATGCAAGTCCATTTTTACAGCAGGAGAAATCTCTTAGGCAATTTTGTGAGTTAAACCTTGCTGTGCTGAGCCCTGCTCCCATGATCACCAGTGAAAAGCCACATTTTCTTTCTGACTCTCAGAATCACACACATTCTGACTTCTGCCCAGAGGGACAAAAGGCAGGGCTGTCTCTGGTCTTCCTCACTCACCTGGGATCCAGAGCAACAGGAAAAAGAGGAGGTGAGCCTGGGACCCCATGTCCATGTGCCTGAGCTCTGAGCTGCCCAGCATCTTCCCCCCAGCTGCCTTTTTATAGCTGCTCTCCTCAGTAGCTTCAGGGGCTGGGAGTGAGCCATGCAAAACAGCTCAGGGAGGGAGGCTTCTGCCCATAAGACAGGCCCCAGTGATCTCACCTCTTGGACAGCCCAGAACCCCGAGCTGTGTGAGTGCAGCATTGGCCTTCTGGGACCCTGGCATGGGGGTATCCCAGTGGTGTTATATACAACCCTTTGCCCATCAGCCCTGAAAACCTCAAAGGTGCCAAGAAAGCTCAGGACCAGACTGGACCAGCCTGGAAGTGATTCTCATTTGTGTCCAGTGTCTTTAATGGGATTACCCTACATTCTAGCCTGAAGCACCCGCCCATCACCCATGATTCTTATTTTGCTCCTCACTGGTTCACAGTGATTTCTATGACTATCTAATCAGCAGGAAGGAATTTGTAGGCATTAGGGTCATTACAGCAGAAGGGAGTCATTTCTTAGCCTTTGTTGGATATTTTCTCCCCTCTGCAGAATGACCACAGCCCCTGAAGAAAGTTCCAGCCACCAAAGTCCTTGGAAATGGTAAATGGTTCAGCTTCAGAAACTGATGTGATTGGATTGGAAGAAATTACATCAATGAAGAGGAATTACCATCAGTTTGCTGCCAAGCCTTTAGGACCGAGAGGCCTTTCCATCCAACTTGCAGCTAAAGTCTCCAGTATGGCGCATCTCCCCCTACTGCAGGGTAAGCTCCTGGAGAGCAGGGGCCATCTCCCAGCTCCACTTGACTCTCCAGCTCTTAGCATAGTGTTCTCCCCACCACAAATGCACAATCAGTATTTTTTAATTCACTAATTAATTAACTCATTAAAAGATCAGTATAAGAAAACAAGCTTTGGATGGGCCCTTATACACCAGGGAAAACAAAAGTTTTTCTTCCCTATTGACTCTATACATGTTATCTGGGAAGGTTGGGTTATGCAGAGTAGCCAAAGGATCCTTTATAAAGCACCTAGGTGGGGCCACTGGGTGGCTCAGTGGATAGAGCAGCAACTTTGGAGTCATGAGGACCTGAGTTCAAACCTGACCTCAGCCATTTACTAGCTGTGTGGCTGTGCTACCCTGGGCAAGTCACTTAACTCTGACTGCTTCTCCCCCAAAATAAATAAATAAAATCCCCTACTAAGGCCACAGAAGTCACAATGTAGAATCTGATATGTTAGTGAAAGGAAACTTTGCTCCCCTAGACCATAATGTTACTCATCCTGCAGCAGCCTCTCCCCAGAGAGGCTCTATTCATGTTCCTCTGTGAGCCGCATCAAGAAAGCCCATGCTACATGAGGGGGATAGTCTCACTACATTCACACATACACACACAGGTAAGTTTATGCTATATACATATATATATATATATATATATATATATATATAGTCATTTTATATATTAAATATAGATAACATTTAAGCACTTGTGGTATATATATCATATATTTACCTATGTATTTAGACATATATGTTTTAGGTATACATAGACACACACATATACACTTATGCACAGGCTGTAGTATATATATACAGGTCCCATATTTCTCTGTGTGTATATCCCTAGAAGTTACATATACCTGAAGGCCATCAAAGAGGTCATTGAGTTAAAGAGTTGTCATTCAGCCCAATCCCTTTGAATGGAAACTGACTTTCAGAAAGTCTCAGCCATGTTTGGAAGGTCCCCAGGTAAGATGCAGCCCTGCCCCCTGACTGGCTAGTGGCCCATCCCTTGCCCCAGGCCGCCCCTCCCCCTGGGCTCACATAGAAGGGATCCAGCCCCAGCTGAGCTTCTCTGACCTTTCCAGCTCTGAATGGACAATAACTGCTGATATTTATTGTCCGTGTCTGAGAGGAAGGGAAGATGGCTCTGCCTTGATGACTGTGCCTACCTGAACCTTCAGCTCATTTGCTTGTTTTCCTCAGGGAGGAGCCTCATACATGTGCAGGGACCCCAGCAGTCATCACTGATGAACTGAAAGGAGGACTTTGGCAGGAGATGGGCCCAGGCTCGGCTCCTCTGGGGTCTACTGCTCTGCATCTCAGGTCAGAGACCAGGAAGGGGGAAAGAACCTCCTTCAGATGACAGGTTATATAACCAACTACTGGACATTTGGCAGCTTTTGGACTGTGTATGAGCAACCTGTGAGGAAGAGGATTTAGCCTGATTAGAGTTTTGCCAAACAAAGATGTTTCCTCCTCCTTAGTGTTCGGCCCAAGACAAAGCAGCCTGATCACATATGGACTGATGTATCGAGTTTCCATATATTCGTCTTTTCTCTGTGATTTCAGGTTCCCAGGGGGCTGTTGTGCTGCAGCCTCCTTGTCAGTGTCACCAGGACCCAGAGTCCACATCAAGTGTAAGGTCAGCTCAGATATTTCTCATGATTTTCAATGGTACCACCAGAAACCAGCAGCGACACCAAATCTCCTTATTCACAACTCAGCTGGCCTGGGACAGATGTCACCCTCTGCCTCAGCTGTGCCGAACCTGAGGTCACTGAAGGCAGGTCCATACCTCACCTCCCACAGCGCTCCAGGCCCAAACAGAACCCTCCCATGGGGCAGATCAGCATGGCTTGGCTGCCCAGCTGGTTCCTCCTGCCCTGGCAGTTGAGCGAGGGCCACATCTCTGCCTGGGTTCATGGGAAGGATTTCCTGAGGTCTGAAGGACACTGTGAGCCTGAGCCCATCCTGTCTTCTCTCAGAAACGAGGTCACTGCTTGTGATAGGTGAGTATAATGGAATAACATGAGGGCAAGAGAAATGAGGACGTGGACAATTTCAGAGGACACTGGGAAGGCCTCTGTGAACTGATGCAGACTGAGGTGAGCAGAGCTGGGAGAGCGCTGAAACAAGGATAAGGATGTGACAGAAATAACTTGGAAAGCCTTTAGAACCGGATCAAGGCCAGGGTGGACCACGAGTCCCAAAGAATGAACATGAAATGTCCTCACCTCCTCCCAGAGAAGGACATACATTTTCAGGTGTGGCAAACGTGGGAATTAGTTTCATCAGAATATAGGACTATATGTTGAGGGCTTTATTTCAATTTTAAAAATTTTGCTTAATAGGAATGGGGTGGGAGATACTGATTAATAAAAATGTATGTTAATTGAAAATAAAAATAATAAAATAGAAATGCATAAATATACAATATTTAACAGGATTGGATTCATTGTAAGATGTCCTTTGTCCCCCATCCCCCTTTCATTCAGTCTTTGTGGACCTTCTCAATTTCTTACTCTCACGGGAATTTAGGCACCTGCCCCAAAGGGTGTTTTCAGTTAAGGCTCTCAAAAATACCTGAGACAGACAAAAAGGTTCAGGAGGAGAAGCATTCAAAATGCATCTCTGGCCTCCCTCTAAAAGTCCTTCTCATCATGGCCTCCACTCTTACCAGAAAGCCAACCACCTGCCCCAAGTCCATGGGGGATGCCAATCAAAGCTGGCAGTGGGAGTTTGGGAATTTGCCATAGGTGGCCCTTTCTCGTTTCTCTTGAAACCAGACCCAAGGGCTCCCCTGCACTCAGGGTTCCTCTCATCAGGCTGCCTGTGGGTTCACTAAGCCATGGAGTGTGTGTTCCTGAGTAGACAGATTTGAGGGACACTTCTCCGCCTTCTGTATTCTCCTGCATCTCTCCTGCTCTGGGGGGCAATGCCCACTCTCCCATGGCACAGTGCTCTTCAGGGGCAACTTCAGGATCAGTGAGGTTTCCTCATGCTTCTCAGTTCATGATAGGTTCCTGAGAAATGTAGAAAAATTACATTTGCCACAGTCTGGGTCTTTGGGAAGCTGGTAATTCCACCTCTTCAATTCTAATCTGGAATATTACGTTCAATTCTAGGTGCCCCGACTGAAAACAGTCATTGATAAACTAAAGTGTCAGAGGGAAAGGCACACAGAGTCAGCACTCAACGCTGGCCTACTGTGAGCAATCCACGGTGAGGGAGTTTGAGTCCATTTCACACGTGAATCAGCTGAAAAAATTGGGTACATTGATCTGGAGAAAAAAGATTTTTTGTGCAGTGGGAGGAGGTGATAGCTCGGAGTCATGATAGCTCTCTTAAGTATCTAATAGGATCTCGTGTGGAAGAGGGCTTGGGTTCATTCGGTTCAGTCCAGAGCATAGAGCAAGCAACAGTGGAAGGAAGTTGCCAAGAGACACACTGTGTCTGTCAACCTGAAAGTTTGGTGAAAGAAGGCAAACAAGTTAGGCAATACATGATGATATAGTTTATTCCCTTTTAGCTAGCGAATCATGTCAACATGGGAGCCAGAACATGATTCTGACTCCAAGATTAAGCAAAATGAGAGAGGTTTTATAATAGTTTAGAGTGATCAGACTCAGGATGTCTGTGTTACAAAACATACAGCCTCCATATGTTTGTTTAACATATAGCATGGGAAAGGAATTTTCTTAATTGAATAGGTTGTAAATACAATAAAATAGGAGAATGTAAAAGTGTCAATTGAAATTATAGACCAAAATAAGAAGAGTCCCATTATTCAAGAGAGTGTCTGGTCCCAGACATGCTGGGCTTAGTGATAACGACCAGGAAGAATGCTGGTCAGTTCCATCTGGTCCCGGAATTTGCTGACACAGGAAGGGGTGTTTTTAGTTCACTCAGAGAGAAAAAGATTAATTCAGGTTTTTGGCCCTTATTGGGGCTCAATTGATCTTAAATGAGTACCATGTCTGACATCAGGACCCAAAAAAACAAAAGAAATTCCCTGATAGTTACAGTCAACATGGATGGAGGTACTGGGGTCCCTCCTTTGGAGGTCAGCCAGCAGAAGTTGACCGACCTCTTGTCAGACATATTACTGGGAGAATTTCTGCATGTATGTATGAGACAAGACAGCCACAGAGGTCCCTCACAGCACCAAGACTCTGTGATTCTGTGAGTCTGGGGCTCAGACAATTGAAATGACTGTCACAAGATCACACAGGCAGGAGGAACAGAATGAGGATGGGAAGCTATGG